CAATACATCTGTATGGAATACACACATATAAATGGGTGAGTGTAAAGTGCTTTGAGTGGTCAAAAATGATTGGAAAAGTGCTATATATCAATCCAAAGCTTTGGCATAGATGTTGAACTTTATTTAACTAAAAGGTCACACAACAGTCAAATAAAAACTTCTGTAGTTGATGCAGACATAAGTAAGATAAACATTTTCAAAGTTAGAAAAAATGCTAAAGCACTAAACCAAAAATTAGCTCCGTTATTAGCATATTAGTAGAAGTATGCCCACCACTGCATCAGTCTACTCCAGGGGTGCCCAAAGTCAGTCCTCGAGGGCCGGCATCCTGCATGTTTTAGTTCTCTCCCTGGTGGTAGTAACAACCTGTTCAGTATGTCAATGTTCTTCTTAGGCCTCTAATGAGCCATCATTTGAACCAGGTGTGTTAAACCAGGGAGAGACCTAAAACATGCAGAATGCCAGCCCTCGAGGACTGACTTTGGGCACCCCTGGTCTACTCAAATATTCCTGCTGATCATGTCAATCCCTTTACAGAGCACAGTGTACCCCAGTGTTTCTCAGTTCCGGTCCTCACACCCCACTGCCCTGCATGTTTTAGGTGTTTCCCTTCTGTCACACACCTGGATTGAATCTGTGGGTGATTAACAGGCTTTCTGCAGTACATGATGGTCATGAATCATTTGAATCAGCTGTTCTGGAACAGAGGCACATCTAAAACATGCAGACCAGGGGGGCCTGAGGACTGAAATTGAGAAGCACTGGTGTACCCCAACATCACATCATGTCATACAGTTTTCTTAAACATGACAATAGTGAATGGCCTCCACAGCCACCAGACCCTAAGTCCTGCAGAAACCCTTTGGGATGTAGTGAAATAAGATATTCTCATTATTGATGTTCAGCTGACAACTTAACATGAAGTGCATGAGGTTATTTTTATAAGGACCAAAATCTCTGAGGAATGCTTCTGACACCTTCTCTGGCAGTAAACCTGATACTAACAATGCATACCTGATAAACTGGCTTTTGTGTATATCCAATATAAATTAGAAATTGAAAACTTTAAAGTTTTAAAGACAGTCTTTCTGCCAATCTGAAAGAAATTGAATTTGTTTGTGGCCATTAAAAGGCTGTTAAAACTTCTGTAGGATCACAAGAGAATCAACTTCCAAGTAAACTTAGATCTTAGTGTCAAGTTGTTGCAGTTCACATACAAGGTAGAGTCTCTTCACAACTGAACTAAGTTTGTACCATAACTACCCTCAGATGTCCATTTCACAATTACAGTTGCTGCTTTCTTTCTTCCCCTTCTCTTATTTCTCAGCCTGCTGTCTTCCCTAGGACCTGCATATGGCCCTGCAGAAAGTCTCTACATGAGTCCAAGGCTCTCGCAGATGGCTTGTCCCTGTTTCTCTCCCTCATTATCCCCACAGTACCCAAAATTCCATTCCTGTGGGCTTGGAAAAGAGAGGAGTGTGTTGCAAATTTGCTTGAAGCAAGAGGACATATTGTAGAATGAGCAGAAAAATGCTGCAACAAGGGCATCCCGTCCATTAGCCTAGTCAACATCAGCACCCATTTCACCACTGTAAAATAAAATGCTTCCTGTGAGTGCAGAAGAGATGGTGGCAGCAGGGAAGTGGGGCTGACAGAGCTGACGTTATTCCAGGCAAATGGGAACGCTGACACTTTGCTGCACGAGCTGCAGAGACGTACGCACAGATGCACAAACTATCGTCCTCTTTTCCCTGCAACTTCTTTCCTATCCACAGAGTGTCTTATCACATCCACCTCAGGTGCTCCATCCACAACCAAGCTGGCAAGCTAGCATGACAACCCATCATCAACCTCTGGAAGACAAACCTCTACACACATGCATCATACATGCATGTGGAATCTGCTTGTATCTAAGCTACAAATGCACATTTGCCAACATGCCTGCACATCTGCGAATCGCCTCGTACAGTATGACGTGTGTGTGATGTGTCTGGGGAATACTATTCACACTCGTCCACACACGCATGCAGAAGGACTGTATTCGTAGCAAGGGAAGAAATGGAACTGGGATCATGGATGTAGGACACAATCAGCACCAATCTCAGTCTCCCTCTTACCTTCCAGGAGGAAACAGCTCACCTGGATGCCTCTGAAGCACAGACAGATCGCATTCAGGCCAACCTCTCTCCCTGCAAACCAGCTCAAAACATCTCCCTCCCTCCCTTCTCTGTCATACACACACACTCTCTCCCTTCTCTCTCTTCCTCTCCCTTTGCAAGCTGGAAATGACAAGATTGTACTATAAGCTGAGGGGTGGGGGTGAAATCTAAGGTAGCTGAAGGAGACTGCGTTGTTTCTGGCCGACCGCCCCGAGTGACTGTGAGCTTACGGGTATAAAGGGATGGAGGTAGGGTGGCCATGGGATGGGGACACATTTCAAGCAGCAGAAGAGTGAGGAAAAAAGCTCAGCAGAGACAACCTTCTTGAAACCCAGAGGACCCCTGCTCTGCTCTGAAATGGTACAGCCCAGAGGAGTTTAAGGAAGTAGACAGCATCAGCTATCAGTTTATAACACAATCCTCTGTGAATCCGAGCTCAGCTACAGTAAGGGAAGGTGAGCTGTGTGTGGTAACTGGGTTACCTCTGATCAAATGTAAAAGCTCCGGATCTGGCCAGCCCACAGCTTTCACTGCTGTTAAATGATGCTTTAGCTCCATTTGTCCTGCAGTATGTCATGTATTTGCAAAACAGTTCTTGCCTCTATCAACTGTTCTCTTATTTATTTCTAAGGGTGATTGTTATTTCTTTATTATGACATACTTAACTATTCCAAAAGAATGTGATAAAATGTGCAATGTATTTCTTGTCAATTGTAAATCTGCCTGGCCTGTCCAGACTCTGTCTGAATGTGACATTGGCTGCAGAAGTAGAAGACTTCCCATGCTCAACATGAAGAGGAGTTCATTTTGGCTGACATCCTGTTGTATCACCAGCTCATTCCCCATCATCCTTTCATTCTGTGATCAACTGAAAGGTGCCAGCACGCAATGGAGTGGGTTGAAGTTAATAAACTAATATTGCATTCCTGTTGCACGATCTATCCATCCTAAAACAAATATGAATGATAAGAGGTGATGGAGGACTGCAGACTGGGTGCATTGTGCAAAGACAGCAGCAGCTGTTTAGTCCACAACTGCCCATGGAATGGAGACATCTTTTCTGAGAAGTATGCTGAACACGTTCACGGTTGTTTGGACAGCATGAATGAGGATCACAACTCAGAGCTCAGCCCTGAGGAATCACCCAGGTGAAGCCTGCAAGTTGTCGGCCACGCCCCTTTGATTCCACAATCACAGCTACATGATGTGAAAGCTCACACAACCCACAGTGATGGTCCGATATGAACGTTTGGGCAGATATTGACATTTAATATTATTCCATATATTGTATATAGTATACATATTTCACTACCCTTCCGATACCTTGACAGAAACAACCACATGCTGACCTCACCACTGCTTCTCTGCTTCAGCTAGTCTTCCCACAGTCCTGTGCAGCATGACTCGCATCACTGTCACATGACCAAACAAACGTCACATGACTAACCTCCTTCTGGAACCCCTCCGGACAAAAAACAATAAATAAATATTGGTTGTTAATATCTGGCCATTTTTATTTATCAGACCCATACTAATATGTGAAAAATGACTGATATCGGTCAATACCGATATTACTGACGATATATGCATCCCTAATTGCTTTGTTTGTTAAAGGACAAACATATGTAATGAAGGGTGTCTGTCTTTATGTTCATTGTAAAGCCATGATGTCTGTTTGAGGCTCCTATTTTGAAGAAAGAAGGGAATTAGTTGTTGAGATATACCACTAAAGTTGGTTAATACAAAGTGCTAGTTGTGTTGGTGGATGACAGTCAGACAAAAATGTAATAAAAATAACCTGAACATCCAGATACTGCAGAGGTAAACTTAAGTGATTAAACTTAATCACCTTAATTCCTTTGCTTCTTAGTCGTTAACGTTAGTTACATTGTTTTTACTATTGAATTGTTAAAAAAAGTAATCACTATGATTTACCCAATGCAAACATCTTCTTGTTTTCCATATCATTAAAGCTTCAATCCTGTAACTCTCTGCATAGGTTCAGTTCTAAAACAAATAAATAGGAATATGTTATTCAAACCTCTTCATTAATAATTCATCCTGAAATAAACAGAAATGTCAGATTCTGTTTGATCTAACCATTGAAGCTAAAACATCCTCCTTATTTTAGAGCTTTGTGTAGTACACAGTTCATTCTTTAAATCTAACATATATGTTGACGTCAACAATTGCAACATTTTTACCAGCAGCACTGTAATACATTACATTACACAATTACATACAATGCCTAAGCCCATTACCACTTCTATTGACTGAGGCACAATAATCAAACTTTTCAGATGTCTGTTTTCAGTTTTTTTCCTTTTAATTAATAAGTTTTGGCCCCATCAACATTTGATGAAATGACACTTTGTGATTGATTAAAAAAAAGAACATTTTACAAATATCTTTCTCATTATTTAGACATTTGGCAGATAAATGTAGTGTTGTTAATCCTAACTGACCTGAACTCAACACATATCAGGACCCCTGCTGTTTGCCTGCTGTGAAGCTGGACTTGAAGACAACACCTGGTTCTGTTCTGGTGACCTCTGTGTATCGTCTGGAGATTATTATTATTCTTCATTAAATAAAGAAAGTTATGCAGCTTCATCTTCATCAGACTGTCATAGCACAACAGTGTGTCTCCAGTCTAAGGCTTTTCCAGAGCTACTGTAGCACTGACTACTACAGGAGATTCTTCCAGCCATCTACAACAACTCTGAAGAAAATTGGACAGTTTGAGTTGCTGCAGTTATTAATTACTCTGGAATTAATATTATATTTGAATTGAATCATATTGAATTGGTCTAACATAATATATATCATGTTATTTAATAAGAAAAACTGGTAATATGCCTTTTTATACACTGTAAATGTGTTTTCAGCTGTATTAGCAGGCATGTAAAATATAATTTGTTAGAGGAGACATGAAGGAGCAATGTGTCCCAAAATATATTAAGAGTTAAGCTGGTTTACTTGCTGCCACACAAACACAATACAGTAATCTATGTTATCAGTGCCTGAAGGAGGAAAGCCTGACTCCCACAGAATGTCACCCTCTGTCACGCTCCACAAGAGAAATCCAGCACACACATTTCCTTTCATGTTTGTTTTTTTCACACTAAATTACCAGTTTTCCTATTTTCCCATTGCTCCTGCTCTCTTTGAAAGGTAGCGCCTTGATGGACAGGCCGGTTGCTACAGGAAGCACACCATGCTTCTTACATTAGAGTGAGGCACTAAGGTGTGAAATCCAAAATAAGATTGGATTTAGATTGGACCTAAACTGGAGTCAATTTCCAAGCCAGGGCAAACAGTAATCAGTTGAAACCATGACATGTGCAGTGAAGGCCATTTGCATTTTAACAAGATTAAAACTCCACAAACACAGTGTGTACATTCCCAGTCCTCAGCTGCAGTTTACGAAAATATGGGTCAGCTGTGGTCAAAATGCTCAGTTGGAGATGGAGATCATATATTCCACATAATACACAAAGCAATCCACACACACTTTTTAATATGTAAATTCCACAAAGAAAGCCCATCCCCCACCTCCCCCAGTGGGAATTAAACCAAAGACTTTCTTGCTGCAAGGCAGCAGTGCTGCCTTCTGCTTCACTCTGCAGACCAAATTCAGTTCAGTTGAATACATTCATAAAGCAGGAAGTAAAAGCAGAACACATCCAAGGACACTTGAAATAAAACAAATCAGAAAATTGAAATCATATCATGTTTTATATTCACATTCATCCCAACTACTGCAATAAGTCCATGTTGATCCTGTTGAGAAGCAATTCAAAACAATCAGGTTCAGGCCAATCAATAAACAGTAGTAAACTAGAATGTGTGTACAGAGCTCATATCACTGATAACAATATGATACCAATTATTTGTATTAAGTTTGATATATCATCAAACTTTTGATCTTCAGGTATTTTAGTGGTTTTTCCTTTGATTTATTTTGTTAAAACCTAGGAAGGTATTTGGCCAAATTTTATAGGTGTCTATAAAATATTTTAGTAACTTATTAACCTAATAAACCAAAATAATAATAATAATAATAATAATAATAATAATAATAATAATAATAAAAACTAATTAGTGTGTAAAAAACTCATTTGAGAGCAAATCAAAACAAAATCTCTTTGAGAAACTACCAGACAAACATAAAATAAAATTTCAACAGGGAATCTGTAACCAAAGTATCAATCTTACCACACTAACATCTATACTATACTGGGTATTAATAATCAATATTTTGGATCATTCTGCTCACCCCTACTTCACTCTGATCCAATCCCAAATCTAAGAATGAACAAAACTTCTCCACTTAATGTTCACAAGGAAAAAACCTGTTCCAACTGTGAATCAATGTGTTCCCACCACGTCATTAAACTGCAGCAACAGTTTATATCAGTATTTTGTTTGTTACTGTTTGCTCTGATGGATTTACTGTATTTCCAAAATAAAACATTTTTTATATATTTTTTTCCTTCATCATAATATATCCCACAAAACATCATGGTGACCCTTCCTGTCAACATTTCTCCTCCTTCCCCTCTATCCTGAGAATGAACAGAGGGACAAGTCTCCATTTAACAGGAGGACACGTGCAGCAAACCAGACCCAGGATAGACAGACATCTGAAAGGACAGACATCTGAAAGGAGATACTGATATTTGCTAATCATTTTTACTGCATTTGATTCCCAACCCTGACTGCTGCCCCCGACTGGGAGGGCATCTCACACTGCTTCTGCACAACGGCTTGGTTTCTGCTAAGTTTATAAAACAACAAATCAGTTCCTTTTTTAGCTCTTGTTGTAAATATGCATTTATGGTTCCATTTATTTCTATCCAATTTATTAAATATTTATTACTGAGTAGTTTTTACCAAATCTGGAATGGAATGTAATTATTTCACTCAGAAACTCTAGTAGGAAGTTGGGAAATAATACGCAAACATTAACTTTGTTCATCAGAATTTCCTGTAATGATGCAGTCGGACCATAGAAAGATTGGTCTCGCTGCAGCTGCAGAGAAAGTCTGTAAATAGGCAATAAACCACACACAGTCCAACCACTGAAATGTTGCCTCATTAAACAGAGGCCACACTGTGGGAGACCCATATTGATTCATCCATCAAATCCTAATTTCAGTGGTATTTGCTCCTTTATTTGGCAACCTG